CCCCCCCCCCCCCCTCCGGGTGGAGTCTTACTCTGTAGATTGGTGCCTCAGGCACTTAAAGGGGCACCCTGGGTGGGTTCCTACTGGGTAGTTCAGTGCATCAGGCACTTCAAGGGGTACCCTGGGTGGGTCCTACTCCGTAGTTCGGTGCATCAGGCATTTGATGGGCCACCCTCTCTATTCTTCAGCTCCTAATGGCGTGTTGGGGAAGAGGGGCTATGGTGATGGCTCCACCCTCTATGTGTGACTCAGCAGTGTCGCCTTACTTCCATGGCTGCCTGGCTTTACTCCACAGGCTTTTTTTTAGCACACTTTTCTCCCTCACATCCCCTCCATCCTTCTCTCCATAGTCAACAGCAGCCCTCACCCTGGGATTGTTCCACAATCCCCAAACTCCAGCTCCCAGCTGCTTTGTTTTCCAAGAGACTTGTGTCCTTGTCTGGGGTATGTATGGCTGCGGCAAGGATTGGCTGATTCTCATTCCATCTAGGCTGCCACAGGTCAGTTGTTTCACTCTGAGCTTTTAATGTTTCTCCTCTGACTCAGACAATTGCCCCGATGTGGGGATCAGGCCCCTGCTTCAGTTTCCCAACCTGCTGAGGAAAGGTCCAGTCCTACTAACACTTCTGTTTTTACCCCTAGTTGCTTCATCCTAGCGAGTTTTGTGTGAGTCTATATATTCTTTTCCTCTCATCAGGTACTCCTATCCGCTCTCAGCTGGTGTTCTGCATGCACTTCTGTGTCTGAAGGTGTATTCCTGATGTATGCATGGAGAGAGATGAACTCCACTTCCACGTACGCCTCTGCCATCTTGTTCTCTCAGATTGTAACTTTAATGACCATTTGGCATTAAGAGGAGACAGACAGAGGAGCTGGAGATGAGATACTTGGAAAAGCCTAGAGCTATGACTCTAAAAAGGAAACTAGGAATATTTCCATGCACCAGCTTGAGGGAGCATCAGAGAAAATGATTTTCCTTGGAGTCTTGGGTCAAATAAAGCTCTTTAAGAGATAGTAATGTCGTTTATGACCTATTAAACTGATGAATTTCAAGTTACATATCCAAAAAATGCCACCATTAAAGAAGAATTAAGATGCAAGAAGCAATGGTGAGCAAAGAAATCAGAAAACATGTTGGTATATTCAAATAAGCTTTGGCAGAAAAAGACAATAAAGTAAACTATTTGAAATAGTAGCATTATACAGGGAACATGTAAGTGTTTGATATGAAGTTTAAAACGGTCTCTCTTTGTACTCAGGGAGAATTTAGAAGTGTTAATAGTATGCTTTGCTACATAAAGAATGCACATAGTGCCTTTTAAAACTTCTAAGGGATCTCTAAAATAAAATTTTCAAATTACTAGATTAAATTAATGTGGAGAGCTAGAAGTTAGGAAAATGTGGTGTGGATATAAAAATACAATCATTTTATAAAATATGCTAGGTATATCATTATTTCTAATGTGTAAACGTAGCAAGCTTACTTTAAAAAAATATAAGTATAATACTAGTATAAGTATAAAGAGAAAAAAAGAAAATGTATCATTTAACAGAAGCATGTAAGAATCCTTTTTCTAGGAATCCTGGGCAAGAGGAGGAAATATCTCTTTCTAAAAGAGGAAAGAGATGTATGAATAAGTGGAGGGAATATGAGTAAGTAAATGCCTTATGACTTCTATTTGCTGAGTGATGTGGAATACATGGAGCCTTGAAAAGATAAAAGTGGAGTGAGAGTTTGAGTAGCAAAACAGAAAAAAAATCTGGGAATTTAAAAAGTAGTCAATCTGAAAGATTATTCAGTAAGTCATCTACTTATGGTCTGTCACACAATTCAAAACCTAATACATTTATTAGTAGAATGAATAGATTCTCTCCACCTGTTCTGAGAGAACTAGTGAATTAGATTTGCCTGCAGTCCTAGGATGTAAAAGAATTTTCAGTAGAATTCCAGGGACTGAGAGAAATGAAACTACTAGAAGGAATATATTGAAATAGCTGACTGGGCTCAGGCTAGGACAGAAGGGAAATAAGGTTAGAAACTAGAACAAGAGGAGGAAAGGTAAGGATATGTCACCAACAGTTGACCAAGATACAGACTGTAATGCAGTTCTTCCTGAGCTACGTCTGTTTCCCTCTCAGAGGCATAATGTTTTACTGTTGACATATTTTGAATCAAATTGGAAAAGGATGCTAAAATATGACTGTGGAAAAGATGCTCAGAGACTTTGAGGGTGTCACATTTGGTACCTAGGGTGTTAGAAGTAGATTCACAACTCCACAAGGTGGTAACTCATTGGGAAGTAGACACATTTCATGTTTTGCCAAAGCTAAACCATCCAACATTCTCAGAATCGATAGGTGTCACCGCCAAAGACTGCCATGGAACAGGAATATTGCATGTTCAAGTTGTACTAAAGGTAGGGTAGGAAAGCTGAGTTTCAAATTCTGACAATCTCTTACACTTGAACTGCGTCCATGTTCAGTTTCAGCTCATACAAACTGATGAATCTCCAATTGTTTTAAAATGGAGGAAACCTTGTTCTTATTTACACTTCGAATTCAGCTTTAAGAGCTTTTCTCAGACACTACAGTGTTTTACTGATGGTAAAGTTCAGCAGTTTTATATATAGGTTATTCTTTAGTTCCACCCACATCACAACTTATTTCATTGCAGGGCTTTTAGCATGTTTATAGAGGGACCTCTGAGAATGGATGCCATAACTTCCAGTACTGTATTTATCAGCAAGTAGTCAATCATTTGGTAGGAGTACACCCTCAATCCCACATATAGATTTTAAATAGCTGTATATTTTGTAAATAATAAGAAAAATAATAGATTATATTTTCTAAAATACCACTAAATGCTCTGTTTTCTCATTTTCTTTAACTATGATTTTATTATTAATAAAATGCATGATAGTAAACATTGAATGTTTACTACATTCTGTGCTATGATGAATATATATGTTTTCTCATTTTTGTATTCAGAACAGTTTGATTGATTATTATATTCTCTAATTTATTGTTAAAGAACTTGGGATTCATAAAGGTCAGGTAAACTGCTCAAGGACACACAAATGAGTTTGAATTGGATTTGGTCCACTTTCAGAATCTGGGTACCTTATCAGTGTGATACAAGTCTTTACCCTTGTGCTAAACACAAGGTCTTTACCCTTGTGCTGAACACAAGAGTAAAACCAGTCCTTTCTGTAAGGAGAAACAAAGCTGATACATTAAAAATAACAATAATTGTGTAATATATGCTTCTAGCTGTAAACATGTTAGGATTTCAGAAGAAAGGGATTAGCAGTGGAGACTAGGAATAAGCAGAAAATGAAAACCTGAACAGGTGAAGTTTATATTAGACTTTGCCATATGAGGATTGGATTATAGGGTGATTATAATATAAGAGATAAAACCCACAGGGTGGAGGCTGGGAAGTAGAAATGAGACAGATCCATTTGGGGGTTCTCAGAAAACTGTATAATATAGGAGGAAGATGAACATGAAGAAAGTGATAGATTATAAAACATGTTAGAAAATGGATAGGAGTTTTTTGTTTGTTTGTTTTTGTAATGAAGTGGAAAATAGGGAGCTATTTAAGAATTATGATGGTGGCATGATGGAAAGAAAATGTAAGTATGATGTGTCATAAGACTGACAGGCACTTCTGGATGGTACTGCCAAAAGAGACTCAACTCCTTGGGAGTTCAGCCACAATTAAGAGACCCAAATAATTAGACAGGCTTTGGCAGTTCTGTGTGTGTGCTTAGTCACTCAGTCGTGTCCAACTCTCTGCAACCTCATGGACTGTATCCTGCCAGGCTCCTCTGTCCATGGGGATTCTCCAGGCAAGAATCCTGGAGTGGGTTGCCATTCCCTTCTCCAGGGGATCTTCCCAACCCAGGGGTCAAACTCTGGTCTCCTGCATTGCAGGCGGATTCTTTACCATCTGAGCCACCAAGGAAGTCTTAGACTGTTCTGATAGAGGCTGAAAGAATCTTGATAAATTCCTAGATAGTACTGTACTGGAAAGATTACTTCTGTAAAACTTGGTATAACCACTTCTGAGCCTTGACACAAGCCCCTTGGCACACGTTGAGTACTTCCAGCTAAAAGGGGAGATGCAAAGCAGGTTTTACACTGGTTCTTCATGTATTTCTGTCACTACCCCAGTGATACACTCATTCCAGGGCAGAAAAGTCAAGCTTCAGTGTTTTAAACACAGGAAGGACCATCAACACAGTCATATAAGTTGTGTTACATTATTACACTGAGCCTGTGGTACCTTCCAATAATTCAGCATTCCTTTTCTTCAGCCTCTGAGACTTTCTAGGATCAGACATAAGGCTTGCTATCGGAAAGCAAGCCTTTCTGTCTTCCACTGATTCATTTCTCAGGGAGGCATCTTCCAAATTCCTGCTTGAAATGTAAATTTTCTGGGAACAATGATGTGGGGGGTGGATTGACTAGTAGTCTCTACATTTAGTATTAAGTATTCACATGTTCCTGGTGGTTCAGATGATAAAGAATCCACCTGCAATGCAGGAGACCTGGGTTCAGTCCCAGGTTGGGAAGATCCTCTGGAGAAAGGAATGGCAGCCCACTCCATTATTCTTGCCTGGAGAATTCCATAGACAGAGGAGCCTGCTGGGCTACAGTGTATGGGGTTGAAGAGAGTCGGACAGGACTGAGTGACTAAGCAAGCACACACTTTCACATATTCCCTTAATACCCTTGTTGTCATAAAAAGTGCTATATCCTTTAAATAAGTCTAAAGTCCTCTGATGCAAAGACTACTTTATTTTCTCCTCTGAGAATTATCTCCAGACTTATCCTGGGATGAGAAACAGGCAGATTTCAATGGTGTCAAACAGGGGAGGAAATCAAACTGCTTCTTTCAGTCTTTCTCCCCAGATTTCATAAATGGGCCTTTCTGCTTAAATTAGTTCCTTAGTTTTCCCACTGTTGACCTGGGCTGTGACTTTCTCAGGCTGCCTGTATTATTTCCCACTTGCCATCTGCTTCCGAGTTTCCTAATATTTCTTGCTGTTGCCTCTTCTCTCGTTTTGTCCTCTCCATCCTAATGGGTTTAGGTTTCTTAGAAGAAGAAAACAAACAAACAAACAAACAGTAACTAAAACCCAGCTCATCTATAGTTTCAGTGTTGTTTGGAAAAGAAAAATAATTGTACATATGTGACAATTTGCTGTCTTAAACTGAAAACCCACTAGAATTTACTATGGTTATGAAATGTTTCTCTTCATGATATTTAGATGTAAGATATTTAATGTTTTATTCATGAATTATGACTTTTCTCACCCCAGCTAAATTCTATCTAAGCAATATCTTGATTGAACTTAGTTTCTACATTTCATGGTTTATATAACACTTGATAACATCTAATTCTTTTCCTTCATCTAAACAGAGAACAAGCTCTAGGTAAAACTTTCTAGATAATTATATCTTTTATTTTCACTTAAGATGCATTTTTAAAGTTTGTTGAACATGTGTGGGAAAAAGACAAAAATGATAACTCTTCCACAAATAAGAAATACAAAACATACTCATCATTGTCAAAAAATAATGATTTGTGTGTACCAACACTAATATTACTATTAATACAGTTAAAAATGAAAAAATCTATAAAATATATTCAAAAATATACCAGAATGATTTACCTATCCTCATCAAACTTTATATTTTAAGATGCAATGCAGTGTCAACTTTCACTTGAAAAAATGATGTACTAAATTGTAGGCTTTTCTATAACTTATTTTTTGGTTCATTTACTGAACATCTATAAAATATCAGGCACTGTGCTTGGTATGAAGGATATATCAATACCATCAATACCCACAGTGGAAAATTTTGAACTAGGCTAGCATAAGATAAAACTGAAGAAGAGATGAGGAGAACGGGAAGATGGGTAGCAGTGCAGAGTGATGAAAGGAAAAGATCTGAAGGAATGATCTAATAAAGTAGGAGTGGACGTGGTGACCGCATAAATTCAGCTCTGAAAAAAACTGAAGGAGCTTGCTAAGAGTCAAGATATAAATAGGAAAAGGGCTGGGGCTGGATTATCCTATATACTTAATACAACAATAAGCAGTTCTGGTTTTATATTTCTACACTGTCCCTAAGTATGTACTCAGAATCTTGGCCAATTTGGCAAGCTAAACTGACTTGTCTGCAAATGGGCCAGTTTTCTCAGGCATTTTATCATTTTAACCATTTTGAGCATGACCTGCTACACTCAAGAATTATCCTAACTATACTTCTGTAACATTTAAAGAAAAGAGAAAATACAGAAATTGAATTTTAAAAGGAGTTAATCTAAAATATAGAGGAATGTGTGGATGCAAAGGGGTTTGCAGTAAAGCACTGAGCTCTCAGCTTTCCTTATATCCAGGATATCCTATGTAATGCCTGGGCAATGGGAGGAGGTGCTTTAAAGGCTGCCCAAGTGAAGGAAAAAGAAAAGAGCACTCATGAATGCTCAGAAATCATGTTGCACTCCTCTGTAGAAAGAGTGTATCTGGATAAGGCAGCTATAGAGTGATGGCACATGAGGAACTAGATTCAGAAGTGGGAATACATTTGTTCTCATTCTGTGGGTACTTCCCACAGGACACAGTTCAGTTCAGTCACTC